ATCTCAGTGAGACTCTCCAGGTTAAATTAAAGTTAAATGAAAAAATAACTTGTTCAAATTAGAAAATTCTTTCATTCATAACTCCCAGATTGCTTTTTTTTTTTTCCAAAATGTGTATCTTTGTTTAACGGTGTCTTTAAAAAAAAAAAAAAGTTCAGCTTTTGGGTGAAACGCTGACCTTTTAACGTAGACCAACATTGTGCCTGTATATGTGCTGCACAGTGGAGGAGAAGTTCATAATGCTGGTGTCTAAGTACACATGTTTACACCAGATGACAACCTCAGGCTGCCACATGAACCAAAACATGATGCTTTTAGGAGCGTTTCTGTCACCGTTGGCCTATTGGCTAAGCTGCAGTCAGATACAGTCGTACTGCAGAAACTCTGAATCACAGCAGCCAAAGTGTCTCAGCTGGACGTTTTTCAAAAGTGCATCTGTGCCTGTTCAGCTGATAAAAAAAGGCTTTTTGGTGAACACAGCATTGTAAGATTAGTTGGTTGGCCTACATAGTGTTTGTTCCTTCCACCACCGCAACTGAACGGCTGAACCCAGTGTGTTATTCCAAACCTTGTGTTTTTCAGCTCTCATCAAGCATTCAGCTCTAAGCTCTGCTGTGCTAGCCTTTTTCTTCTACTTAGATTTAGGAGAGGCTCAAGGACCTCTGGCCATTTTCAAGGAACCCTGCTGACTTGGCAGGTTTCTGGAGGATATTTTTGTGGAGTTAGGTGTCGACCTTACCGACCCTTTACACCTGAACTTCCACTTTGTTTGGTTTATTTTATTGGTAGTTTATTTGGAACTGTGCACATCACAATATTTTCAGCTTGTATATAATATAATATATATATAGTATTTGGTTAAATTGGGATCTTGGAAACTGAATTCTGGGCTAAACACTCAGGACGCCAACAACAATTAGCAATTTAAAGTTTTATTTTATTCTAATTCTGTTCTAACAAGGTCCCTATTTGTCTCAATGTAAGGAAGTCTCCATTTTATTTAGGAATATCTACAATATTGTCTAAGATTTATGTTTGAGAGTAAACAGAGCATTCTCCTATAATAAGATGTCAAGATAGAAACCCAAAGCCCACAAATATGTTGTTTTAAGAACCTTAATCTGAGAGGTTTGCCAAGTAACCTCAGCTACAGGAGTCATTTTAAACTCAAAAGGTTCCTCCATAGTAGCGATGGTGAGCAACCCCACAAGGTTGTTTTTTGTTTTTAGTGTATAAATATGCTGGATATGAATTGTGGAAATATTTACATGTATTCATGTCTTTATTGTTCACTGAAGCAGGTTTTTTCTTTAGCACATTGCTTCTGATTTGTGGGTCTGTATATTTACAGTTAAAGAAATATCTTGGTTTGAATCATTATGTAGAAAACTGGGTTACAGCAGATGTGATTAAAACATTAATTAACATGCAAATACACTTATATAACAAGTCTGAGCAGGTTACATTGTTAGCGTGTGTGAAGCTGTGCAGTGTGTTCCTGCTATGAATGTTTGGGTTTTTTTAGATTAATAGCTCCAAGGATGACGGTTAGTCATTTATAGTTTCCTCGGTGTGAATATTTAAATTTTAAAAAATGATTTTCAGTCGGCTTAATAAGGATGAAAAGACTCTTCACTGTGTTGTGTCAGAGGAAACACTGAAGCCGGTTTCATATCCGGCGTTGCTTTGCTGCTTCAGTCATTTATATGAGTCGCATCAGAGCAGAGACACGAGGCCTACAGGAGAGTCGAACGCGTCTCGGTGATTTATCGGTGCGAGAAGCTGCTGCTGAACAATAGGAAGTTGTCAGCCAGCGAGTCTGAGAGCAAAGAGCCGCTGACTTTGTGCCTCGAGCACAATAAGAGGTTCAGCCTGTGATCTCTGTAGAAACAGAGAGGCTGCCGTGTTTGAACTACATGAGCAAGAGGTGACCGCGTTGCAGCTCAGAGAGAATGTACAATGTTGAGTTTGAACTTGTGCAGCAAGAGAACCGAAGAACACTTGAAGCGAGAACATGCAAAATGTCCCGTTAAAGAGCAAGCAGACAGAACATAAAAGCTACGTCCCTAAAACTGTTTCCCACCTACAGATTGTTGCCTCATTGTTGGTTCATCGTTGTGTCATTTCACGAGAACAGTGTTGACAGTTTGGAAGTGCTGGGGGAGCAGAGGCGACATGTGGATGTGCAGCAGATGACAGGAGGAGCAGAGATGGAAATCCAAAGAGAATGAAAACATACAGACGTGTCAACACACAAAGAAATGAGACGAGGGCTGAAACCAAGCTGACGTGTTGGTGTGCTGAAGTAGAGCTTTAGTGAAGGACAGTTTTCGAGCTCTGGCTTTACTTTATTAGCTGAATGTTTAAAGTGTTTAGTTAATGTCTTTCACTCTTTTTCTTTCTTGTGTTTCCAGGCGGCACAGCGTCCAGGCAGAAGGGTTTCCGAGGCTGTATTCGCTCTCTGCAGCTGAACGGCGTCACCCTGGACCTGGAGGAGAGAGCCAAGATCACGCCCGGTGTTCAGCCCGGCTGCCCGGGTCACTGCAGCAGCTACGGGTCGCTCTGCCAGAACCAGGGCCGCTGTGTGGAGAGAACCAACGGCTTCCACTGTGACTGCGGCCTGTCGGCGTACACTGGAGTCTTCTGCCAGACAGGTAAACACATGCAGCGACACGTAATCACACATTTCTGTGGCTGGTGATGCTGATTCACCAGCTCCTTTGTTAGGAAAACAAATTTTAGTTAATTAAAGCTGCATGGGTTGTTTTGGGTTTGTTTGCTTTTTTTTTCAATGTTTCAGGCTGAAAAACTACAACAAGCACAGATGAATGGTCCAATATTATGACCTCATAATAATGCTGTAGCTAATATTTTGTCAAAAAGTTTGTTTAAACCTTCTCAACATGCAGTGACATTAACATTCATCATGTTTCTGGCCAGCTGATGAATGTAATATCCACTCTGATTTTACCTCTGTTTTGGTCTCCACCAACTCCCAAAGAGGAAGTCTGACCCCTAGTTATGAGAGGTTTCGCTTTCAAGAGGCTCCACTTTCTTTAACAGCTTGCTGGTAGTACATATTTTTTTAACTGATGAGGCTGAACCAGAATAGTAAATGTGCAATATAACCCAAACAATTATCTAATCGAGGCTACAACCTGCAGTTTGTGCTTAATCATGTGGAATTTGTCACTACAAGCATTTCTTCATATTATACTCATTTGACTCATTATTAATATAAAAATATCGCTCATCAGAGCTCTTAGTTCAAGTTATTTCTCAGTCATTTGACTTGGTTCTTGAGTCACTACAGCAGCATTATATGGAAACAAATCTGCCTCAACACATTTAGAAATTTAACAACTGTTAAACTTTTTTTGCATTGCAATCTCATTTTTTTCTCCTCTAATTCCAGCTCTTCAAAAATTTAATGACTCATTTTCACTTTTGTTTTTTAATGTTTACAATTTCAGAATCAAAAATTTAAGATTTAAGAGCAAATCGCCGACAGTGAAAGTTGCTCAGACTCAAACTGAAGTTGCAAAATTCTGATTCTTAAATGAGATTTT